CCTGTTTTCTAGCAATCGGGGTGGGAAAGAGCGGGGCACTGGGAGGCAGGAAACCCGACGTCCTGGGCAGGTTCCTCCACTTCCCTGCTTCTGCACGTGTGACCTTGGGCAGCGCGCCTGCTGCCGTTGTGGGGACTGTCCCTGCTCTGCCCAGCTGCCAGTGCTGCTGGAAGGACCCTACAAAATCCTGAATGGGAGGTATCTTTGTAACCTGAAACTCACACTGCCACAGTCAGAAACGGCGCTGAGCATGGCTCCTCTCTCGCCTGCTCCTGTTGTGGGCACTGAAACCCTGAAACAGGTGGCCGTGCAGCTGCGGCTGGGCCGGGGCACAGCTGAGGGAGTTCGGGGGACTCTGGCCAGGGACAAGAGGAAAAAATGTCACGTGCCCATTCTCATCTAAGTGTCCGGTGCTGCCTTTCCAGGTCTGGCTCCACCCGTCACCCCTCCTCTTTGCTGGCCCAAGCCTCTGGGCCACAGACCCGCTCAGGCCTGTCAGAGCCTCCCCCAACCTGAATCTTTCTGTGCCTCCCACGCTTTAGACCACAAGCCAGTCTCCTTTCACAACGACAATGAATGCCACTTATTAATTCCCGTGCTAAGCACTGGGTTACGGTCGAACCTCACTAATTCTTCCCTAAACCACCACTGGTGCATTCATGGACACCACCCCCACCCCCACCCCATCCTGAGCAGGCTCTTCACCCTGTCCTGACTTTACCCACCATCCTGGAGCTCCTGTCTCCATTGCTCAAGAGCGGCGCCAGGCTCTGCCCCGGCCTGGCCGTGCAGGGGCCTCCCTGCTATCTCACCTGACCTCTACGGGCGGGCCACTGCTGACCGAGTCAGAGCCTCACCTCAGGAAGCCCCGCCACCTGAAACATTCTGCCCCCCCACACCGTCCACTGGGTGCTGAGGACCCAAATCCAGGCCTCCAGCAACACCAACGCCGCAGACCCAGGGGTGTGTAGAGACCTGCCTGTCCTGCCTTTTAGGAGGCCACTGAGACACCTGCTTTCTGGGAAGGAGACCCAGGGCCTCACTGAGCCGGACTGGAAAGCCAAGGGACAGCAGGACAGAGCTGCTGTGGTCTTTGTTCCTTTCCTTGAATGCAATGCGCCTTCCCCACTTAACAGCAATTTTTTCACTTCCAAAGGATTCCAGCTGCTTCAATTCAAGGTGAAGAATAAGCCCCAGTCAAGAAGCATCTCAGGCCTTTCAGTTCCACTGGCTTGCAAGGGATGCATTTTAAGATGTTTACCTCTTAATGCTTGTCAGCGTGGAGAGAAGCTTCCTCCTACTCTGCCTTACTCAGCACTCAGCGGCTATTGGCACAGGGATTGCCCCTGTCCTCCTGCATTACTTTGTTTGCACGGGAACCCACCTGACTTCCTGGCCCTCTCCCTGCTTCTGCCCTCCCTCCCACCCCTTGGCCACACCCACCCGGGGAGAGGACAGACTGATGCTGGCCCCGGGTCCACCGGAATCAGCTCCGTTCCTTCAGACGACCAGTACACCCAGCAGCTTCGAAGGCAAAACGCTGGACTCATGTAGCTCATAGCTCACACTCTCAGAGGTGTGCTTCCACCTGCCACTCATTCATTCATTCATCCACTCACCCAGGTGGTCACCCAGTCTGCCAACATGAGGTCTGTGGCGCTGTGAGGGGCTACAGGGTGGTTCAAAGAAACACAGCACGTGGTCTTGTTGCAAACTGGTTGAAGCTACGAGTACACAATACAAAACAGAAGGAAGTAAATTCTGAGTTTGGAGGGTGGGGGCATGATGAAGGCTCAGAGAAAGAAGAGATCAGCTAGGAATGAGGGTAAATCCCAGAGGGAGGAGGCAGTCAAGGAAGGCTTCCTAGAGAAGGAAGCATTTTGGTGGGGGCAGGGTGTCCCCGAGTGCAGGGTCCAAATATAGAGAGTGGCCTGAGCAAAGGTGTAGAGACGGAAGCCCCCTGGCGGGCACAGAGGCACCATCCTGTGCCCACTGCCGCTCTGCCTCCGGGGCCTTGGGGTTTGTGTGTGCATGTGTGTGTGTGTGTGGGGGGGTGCACCCTGTACGTATCCACTGACAGTCGTTGCTTGGGTGGCCTTGCTTTGATCACCTAAGGGGGGCATTGTCCCCACACAGCAAGTCACCAACCTCTTGCCCTTTTCCATCAGGCTCTGGGCCTGGAGGAAATTCTTTTATCCTCTTCTCTGTCACTTAGGCTCTCCGCCCCCACTTTTGAGGGACCCTATTTCTGATGGCACTCATTTCCCCCCAACTTTCTTAGTCACTGTCCCTCTAGAGGCGGGTGTCCCTCTATCCCTGAAGGGAGGCTCCAGCCACTGTCTCATTTCCCACTGTCCCTGGCCTGTCTCCACCTCCCGACACCATCTGCCCTAGGACCACCACTCTTTCCTCCTAGAACAACGTCCCACCAGCAAGCCCTCTCGACTGCGCAAGCACCCGGTGTGTCTCTGACCGTGGTCTGGGACCAAGCCTCTGGAGATGGGCCCGCTGGGTTTAGACTCTGGTTCTACCTCTTCCCAGCCCTGCCTGTGGTCTGGTTACTTCCTTCTGCAGGAACTTCACTTATTTTTCCTACTGAACACCTTTCCCCACCTGATAACTAACAGCTTGCTTCTCCTTTGGGGGAGCCCTTCTCTCTGCCTTTCAGGTCTCATGGATCAGCGGGGCTTCCCAGTCCTCTGGTTCGGGGATGGGCATGTGATCCAGGCGGGACAAGCCTTGGGACTTTTAATGGTTGGAAAGGGTCAGTCTATTCCCACTGGGAAAATGCAAATCTGGCACCAGTGAGGGTGGTCTTTGTCGCCACAAGGAAAGTCTATTTACACACAAAACCAGCACAGAAAAAAAGTAGAGAAAGGGGACAGGTCCCTGGCGGTGTTGTCTGAGCGGCTGGATGTAGCAATTCCTGAAGCCATCCCCGGAGAACCAGTGAATCAGTGAAGTCTTCCTTCTTTCTTGGCTCAAGCTAGTTTGAGTTGTTTTTTGGTCACTTGCCGCTAACAGTCTTGATTAAAGAGGAACTTGTGGATTTGATGAGAGCATTAAACGAGATGACACAGGACTTGTACCCAACATAAAGTAGGTACCACCTGATGAACGGTGGCTTTTGAGAACTCTGAATCTGCCTTCTTTCTCAAAGGTCAAATTTCCATAATGTGTAGTTCTATAGTAGTAGAAATTACTTTTTTTTTCTTTTTACCACTTTGAACAACCTTCCTTAGTGAAATCTCTGCCCACCTTGGCTTTCTGAACCACAGCTATGTCCTTCCTCAATTTCCAGGTTTTCTTCCCCTACCTCAGGGCTGATACAGGACGGGGGACTCCAGGATCTGGAGCGGGTATCTTTTCTGCGTTCTGCGCCCATACCCCAGGACGATCAGAATCAACGGAACCCAATCAAATGCACTTTGTAAACTTACTTCAAACTCGTCCCTCTCAAGCACACCAAGTACTCAGAAAAGTCCACACTGCCATCTAGTGGACATCTGCAGCAATACCATGAGTAACAGATCCCTCTGCTGAGAATCCCTCTTGGGAAAGTCAGTCCTTAAAAGGGCAGTAAAATCATCAGGTCCAACCTCTTCACTCATTAAGTAACAAGCACGAGGATACGTGAATTAACCGTGAGTTGAGAGTCCTGCCCCACGGGGCGGCATTACACTCTCCCCTCAACGACTGGGCTCCTGCCCTGCTTCTTCAGCCCTCCGCCTCCGGTCCCGTGAGTTAGAACCACAGTAGCCTGCATTTCCTCCACTTCTCCCACCTGCCCAAGGTGTGACCCAGGCCAAGGGTGTCTAGGGAGGAGGGCCGACGCGTGTGCGTGAGTGTGCATGCGAGTAAGGCCAGAGCGAGAGGAGACCCAGGGAGCCTCCTTGTTACTTGTATGCTTAGTCCTGCAGAGGAAAGGATCTTTGTCACATTTGCAAACATGATAGCCTGTCAAAGCTTTGTGTTCTCAGCCTCATACATTGTGAGATATATCACAGTTGACCCCCGCCTCCAAGCTGACAGTGGGGAAGAGCCCGCTGTGGCCTCTCCCTGCCACCATGCACAGAGGACACCTTGGTGTGCATGTGGTCACATCCTGATCATGACCCTCCACCCATTCATGGCCTGAGTCTTGGACACACACCAGTCTTTGTTCCTGTGTTGACACTGGCGTCTTCTACTAAAACAAAGCAGAAAGCAAGGTCCCTTTCCCCCCTGTTGCTCTGGGGGCTCATTCTGGGGGCTCAAGAGTCAAGGAAGAAAGAATAGTGACCATGACACTGGACCCACTCCCCCAAGACACGACCTGGACCCCAGAAACAGCAGCCACAGCCCCGCTGCCCAGTTCTACGGGCCTTCCCCAAACCAAGGGAACCTTTTGGACCAGTTCAGTACCACTCATTTCTCAGTAAAAGACATAGTTATTTCCAATTCCTAAAATGCTTCAATCTTCTATTGTAGGCAAGTTTGGTGGAATTTTTTTAGCGCATTTCTTATTGTGATGACCAAGAGTCAAGACACACTGGCCTCTGCTTGTCCAGCTTACAGGACAGAGGCTGCCCTCTCTCTGCAAACTAATTTATCCCCATTGAGAAGGTCATTCTAAAAGCCCAGCCCCTTGCACCTTGAGAAAGAACTCCCCACAACCCCCCTCTCTCCTCCTTTTCTCTGCAGACTCCAAATCATGCCCCAGCTGGTCCCCATTATGACCGAGGGGCCGGCCTTGAGGACTCAGGGATGTGGAGGCAGTGAAAGGCCCAGGCAGAGTGGGCCCTGAGCTCCGATAAGGCACTCCCAGTCTTCAGCCTTCCCACCCACCCAGCATCCTCATAGCAGGCTGTGGAGCTGCTCTGAGGAAGGCACAAGCCTATGACAACAGCCATCTGTTGCCACCAGACCCAGCCCAGATGGCTCTGCATACAGCTCCTAGTCGCTGAGATGAGCAAGCGCAGAGGCAAACTGAGACCCGCCAGCCAGGTCTGCTCACTCACCTCCGAAGCCTCCGGGTACTTGACCAGCGGTGGCGGCCAGCTGGTGATCTTCTCCCTGTAGTTGTCGCAGTTGGGGACTACCTTGCAGCTGATGTTCTCCAGCTCTGTGTAGGAAACTTCAAGGCTGCCCCTATAGAGAGAGGGAGGTGATTGGGCCACATCAGCATCTTAGGGAGCCTGGGGTCTATGAGACTTCAGTTAGCGCTGGTGGGGATGTAAAGTCGAGTGGGACTGAATCCTAGACCTGCCACTAACTAATTGTGTGACCTTTGTGGCCTAAGAGTTACGTGATCTCTTGGTGCCTCCATTTACTCACCTGTAAAATGGGGACACTAGTAGTGTCTACTTAGGAGCTTGGTGCGAGGAGTAAAGGAAGCGATCAAGGCAGAGTGGTCAGGAAGTGTCGCCTATGGTCAGTGTCTACTTCTCGGAAGGAACATATATCCACAGGCAGACTCGGTCAGTGCCTTGAAAGTAGGATTGGGTTTATAAAAACAGCCTTTCCACATTGCTTTTCAGGGGTGTTCTTATTGCATGATGAAAAGTCTGGCCAATCAGCACGGCCTTCGTCACGGGTACAGAGTGTTCTCTGCCCTACACAAAGATCCTCCCAATGTTTGGAAATCCCGTCACTCAAGTAAATCCACTTTAGAGGTTAAGTGTTGTTCGTACCTGGGGCTCTTAACCTGCTACTCACTGAACTTTCAAAACACAAACATCTTTCAGGTGGTACAGCAGTCACTAAGACTGAAGCGGGCATTCATTTATCTACTTTCTCCCCAAGAAGGGTCTGAACAGCGTGAGCGCTTGAGAATACGGCTCCACGCTGCCACCAGGGTGAGCCTGTGTTTGAGACTCAGGGACGTTAGCCAGGCTTTCCCATAGAGTTTTTTTAAAAAAAGAAAGAAAAGGCTTTGTGCCATTTTTTTTTTAACTTGCTCCTTCCTCCTTGACCTTCTTCCATTTTTTTAATCACAAAGACTTGGGGTCTCTGTAGGGTGTGTCAGCTGATGGCCACTGGTGCCGATTCAACACCAGCCAGAATCCCCAACTTGGGTTACGGCAAAAGAGGAAACTTTATTCAATACAAGTGCTTCGATTGTGATACCGCACAGCTGTGGAACGGCCCAGTGGTGTTACAGCTCAGCGATGAAACAGCATGGCTGTGAGGCGACCCTGGATGTGAGGTGGCGTGGCCCCTCTCCAGCCAGACAGCTCTGCTTGGCTCAGGTGACAGACCTTCAGCTCCAGCCACGGGTAACACAGTCTTCAGTGGAAAGGGAGAATGTGCCCTCTGACCTCGAGAGGAGCTGATTTGTATGGAGAGCAGTCCTGCCCTTGCCCTGTCCCTGATTGATCTGTTTCCATGCAAATGAAGACTACAAATCCTCATAATCTGATTGGCCCAAAAAGCATTGTCCTGACCTGTCAGAATGGGGCTGCTCTGATTGATTAGTGAAGATGCTAGTGAGTATATATATAGCTGTGCAGCTCCAACTGGACAGGAAAAGTCTCGGTCCTATTGACTGAAATAGGACTCAGGGACCGCCTTTATGAGGGCCGGCTCAGTGGGCAGACACACAGCGCAGGCCTGCAGTCTGGTGCAGAGGCTTCTCCCTGAAGTGCGGCTTTCAGGCCCGTGTGAGAGGCTCCAGTTTAGCAGCAACTGCTAGGCTTTGTGTATAAATTTTAGCCCAGTTGTCCACCAGGGGCCCTGGTGGGGTACATTCATTCGGGGATGAACAGTCATTTGGTTAAGATGATTCACTGAGAGGGTGTGGGTCCTTGGCCTTTCCAAATGACCAAGCATGGCTGAGCAGCTCCACAGCCCGCCACTGGCCTCCCAGAGCTGCCCAGGGTTCCCTGCTGGGGGTGACACGTGAAGGGGATCCAGTAAAAATGTAATTGGGGGAGTATATCTGGAGGGGGAACTCCCAAAGTCAGAACCTGACAGAAAGGCAAGGACAGCTCCTTGGTGAGGAGCCCCAATTCCCCCCCTGACCCCACCCTTCCAGAGGCTTCTGAGGTTCCTTCTTAGGCAAAGGTGGCCGAAGCCGCAACATTCATCAGACACAAGATGTTCCTCCGGCCAGCACCCCAGCGCCAGGCCCCGGGCTGACTGAGGTGGGACGATTCACCGATGCCACTTGGCTGAACCACTGGCTTGCTGAGCAAACTTGTTTCTTTTAGTTCATCACAAGTTCACAGTCATTGCTTTTGGATGGCATGGTTTTTGTAGCTTCTGAAGAACTTTCTGAGAACAGAAAGTTCTCACTCATCTTCACTTATCTTCACAGCAGCCTTTGAAGGATCCCTTGGTTTGTTTGCAGCACGGCTGCCTGCCACTGCAGCCGGTGAGAGCTGAGGCCGAGAGGGGGCCTCTGCCGGCAGAGAGATGGAGAGTCATCACTGCACCCAGACCTGGGGAAGGCCAAGGGTCAGGGAAGAGGGACAGTGGGGACCAGGGGCCTTCCCCAAGGAACAGATAGGTCTTATGTTTTCGCCAGGCTAGAGTTGCTGAAAGTGCTGAAATAGTGAAGCAAAATCAGCAAGCCGACACTTGGTGAGTGGGCCCAGAGCCACTGAGCGTGCCCTGGCAGGGTGAATGCCAGGGGACCAGGGTCTGAGCCCCCAGCCTCAGACACAGCCATGGGCACACCAGCCTGGTATGGGAAGCCCCGACATGACTCACATAGCAGGACAAGCCGCGGGCCTCTGCCCTGAGGAGCAACTTTCCCAAGGTTTAGATCAGGTCCCAGAGGCCAACCTGACTTGCAAATGGTGCCAGGTTGGTAACAAGCGATTTGGGGGATCACACCAGCCTATAGGAAGAACTGGACAAGCCTGCGATGAACTGAACCGAAAATTAAATCCAGTAAAAGCACACTTTAAAACTTGCATTCATGTGAAAAAAAAAACTCGAAGGTGCCATTTTCCTGCCAGAAGTACCCCTTCCGCTCACGGTGCTTATGTGGAACATGTTCTCAATTCCATCCCAAGGCCCGGGCGGCTCCTGCCCTCCTGATGGGGCTGCGGCACATCGGAGAAAGTGTGGGGAGAGGAGCGGGGACTCTGCTCCAGTCCCAGCTGGGCTGCGATCTGCCATTGCAGTGGAGACAGAGCGGGTCGGGAGGACGGAGATGTCACCTACCAGGCCACCCCAAACAGATCAGGCACACCGCATTCTGTTATTCCATTTCTTACAAGGACGTCCTGAAGCAGCTACCACCATTGTTCTCATCACCCAGAGGAGTGAACTGAGGCCCAGAGAAAGCTAAGGAACTAGCACAGAGTCTCACCATCGGTGAACTGAGGGGGGCAGAGAGACTCGTGCGTGACAGTGTCCAACGCGCCCCCAGTGATCCCTGTCTCTTTGTGTTATCCTCTCCCCTTGCGTATGGCCTGGATTTAGTGACTTGCTTCTAATAAAGAGAATAGGACGGCAGTGATAGGATGTCCTTTCCAAAACCATAAGGGGACCATGGCTTCTGCTTGGAGGCCGGCTTCCACACCTCCCCCTCTCAAAGCTCTGCTCTGGGGGCACCAGCTGCTCTGTTGTAAACAGCTCCATGGAGAGGCCTCGTGGCATGGTGACCGAGGCTGTCACAGCCACATGAGCGAGCTCGGAAGCAGCGCGCCCCACTGGCCCATCCTTCAGGTGAAACTGCAGCCCCAGCTGCCGGCTTCACTGCCCCCTCCTGAGAGACCTGGCCGGAGGGGCCCGCGCGTCCCGCCTGGGCAACAGGGAGGCAACGAATGCGTGCAGCTGCTTCGTGTCCGGGGAAACTTGTTGTATAGCAGCAGAGACGGGCTTCAGCCGGCTTCACAGCTTCCCCAGGCCTCTGTTTGACTCTGGCATGGTGAGAATTGAATTAGAGAAAAAACGCTCTCCAGCTGCCCCTGTGGGAACGGCCCTGCATCCTGGCTGCCTGGAAGCAAGGGTGGAGAAGAGGCTGCTTTCGTAGAGCAGGAGGGGGACCGGTGGGTGCCCCACCCTCCTGCGTGGCTCTCGGTGTGGCAGTGTGGGGCCCCACACTCAGAAGAGGCCTATGGGCCTCTCTCCGAGTGACCCGTCCTGAAGTGGGGGCCGAGGAGGAATTGACAGATGGAGGCGGGTGCCTGGGTCAGGAGAGCTGCGGCACAGACAGCAGCCATAGCATCTGTCTCCAAGCGTCCGAGGGGCTGAGTGGCCACCTGGAAGGGGCGAAACCTGCCTCCCTCTGGGCAATGCCTGGGGCAAGACTGGACAGAGTGAGGTAAAGGGAAAGAAAGGTGGCCCCTGCCTTCACATCAGGACCCACTCTGAAGGGGGCAGCTTCTCAGCCATGAAGAGCGGCCCTCGGGGGCTGTGCCAGGGGCCACTTGCATGGGCAGTAGGGAGAGGGTTGTCGAGGGCGCCCGACAGCTACGGCTCCTCGGATTCTGAGGCTGAGCCAGGGCTCTGACTCAGCGTTTCCGTCAATGTGGTCTGGCTTATCTCAGGAGGGGGTGAGCCATCATTATTCCAGAAGAGCTTTTCTCTGAATGTTTCCTTACTGCTTGTCGCTGTACATCAAATTCCTATTCGTATATCAGTTTCTTTAGGTGACTTCAAGAACTTCCAGTTAGACTCTAAACACCAGAGGAGCGGCTCTGCGGGTGGGGGCTTGGGGTGCCTCTCACAGGTTGGAGCCGGAGCTGAGCAGGTTTCTTGGGGAGGGGCCCCAGCGCAGGAGGTACTGGTCCCTCCTCGAGTGTCTGCTGTGTCTGCAATGCACTCACATTCCGTGATGACCTTTTGAAAACAAAAATCTTCAGCAGGAATAAAGGCAGAGCTGCGTTTTTGCAACTATGGTCTGCAACCTGAAGACCTTCCCTAGCACACAGCTTCAGTGTTGAAAGTGCGTATTTCTCACACCGAGGCCTGTTGGTGTGTTCCACGGAGTCCTAAATACGGATCCTCCTGTGGTCTGAGTGTTTGTGTCCCCCCCACCCCTCTCCCCAAATCCATACGCTGAAATCCTGGCCCCTAGTGCCATGGTACTGCTGGCAGCAGGGGTTGGGGAGCTCAGAGAGGAGTTTAAGTGGTGAGGGTGGAGCCCTCACTAGTGCCCTTGCGGCAGAGACCTCAGAGAGTTCTCTCTCCCCCTGCCGTGCGAGGGTGCAGCGGGCAGACGAGCAGACGGCTCTCTCTGAACCAGGAAGCTGGTCCTCACAGTCTTTGAACTTGCCTACAGCTTGATCTTGGACTTCCCAGCCTCCGGAACTCTGAGAAATAAATTTCTGTTGTTTGTCAGCCCCCAATCTCTGGCATTTTGTTACAACAGACCAAACGGGCTAATCCCCATCGAAGGTTCCACTCAGCAGTGTCCCCAAGGGCCCAGATATGTTTCACTAGAGATTTTTTTTTTTTTAAGTACTGATGGGAGCAAAATCTATTTTTTGTGTGTGTGGGGGAGCTTCAACTACACCTAACTTTTTAGGGGGAGAGATGTATTTCTCTTGCTAAAAGCAGCGTGTGTAAGACAGTGCTCAAGAAGACAGAGTTGGAAGTAGTTCTTCCATCCCTCTCACTCCGTGGCCTTCAGAGGGAAGACAAGTTGGCCAAGGGGGTGGTAGCCATGTGGCCGGGGCCCTCAGGACGACCCACCATGAGTAAGGCCAGTGAGGAGGGGGCTGAAAATCGGCAGAGAAGCTCCTGCCTTTGAAAGGAGCTTCTTGCTTCAGTGCCCAGCCTCTTCTCCGGACGGCGCCCCGTGGCCACAGCCCTGAAGGGCCAGCCTGTCCCCACACTCCTGGGTCTGTGACGGAAAAGCAAACAACAGCTTTTTTTCTCTAAAATGCCACTTGGTGGAGAAGAAGCATTTCTGGCTGTGGGGAGGGGTGGACTCTCAGGGTCCCAGTGAGGAGGGCGAGGCCAGCCCCTCAGGGCCCCAGCAGAGCTGACACACCCACACGCTGCCGCGTCCTGGGAGAGCTGCCCTCTCTGCCCTTTCTGTGGTGCTGTGCCCCGCTCCCGTCGGGTTGGCCTCCTCCTCTGCCCGTGTGTGAAGGCTGCCTTAGGAGCAGGTGCTCCTCGGTTCTGGCAACACCCTTCCCCGAGACCTCTGCCCTGCTGCCCTTGGGGGGCCCCCCAGCCTTACTTGCAGAAGGAAGCATCCTCATCCGGCAGAGGCGTGCTTGCACACGGGCTCAGTCTCACCTGGGCTCTGGTGACCACCACTGTGAAGCCCAGAAACAGGGCTGCTGCCACCAGCCTCATTGTCCAGCCCATGGGCACCTGGAATGGACAGAGCCTTTAGCACTGCCAGCCCGCCGCAAGGGGAGCCCTGCATGTGCCCACCCCAGGGGCCCACCTAGGGGGCAGGGACTTTAGCGAGCAGAGGGAAGAGGGTGGGCGGCTAACCCGACACGGGACACAAGTTCTTTAGGAGGACTGGGGCTCACTCCTGACTGGATTCCCTTGCCGCCTGGGCTGGGGTCCCTCCTCTGCCAGAGCTGGGCTCTGCTGCCACCCAAGTCCTAGTCGCCAGAGCCTGGAACAGGCTGCAAAGCACAGTTGCTTGTATAAGCCTCTTGAACAGCTCCTCCTCCTTCCCTCACCACTGGCTCCATGTGGCCGTTGGTCAAGGGCCAGCCTGCTCCTTTGGCTTTAAGGCAAAGCCTGGGAAGCTGGTGACCACAGGCTTTGGGCTCGAGGGAGCAGTTCTGGGGCACTTGCTAGGGCCTGACTTTAGTGTGTTCTTCTAGGAGCAGGGCTTTGGCTGGGCTGTATCCCTTGGGCAGCTCTGCTTTTCCTGCCCACACTTCCTCCGCCACCTGTTTGGACAGCCTTGGGGCTGCCTGTGGGTGGGTGTGCTGGGGTGCAGCGATCCTGTGTTGGCGGGGCTGCTGCATGCGGGGTAGGGCCACCCCAGGTCCAAGGCCAGCTCTGAGGGGCCAGCTGAGGACAGGAGGGCCCGTCCATCTGACTGCACCTTGCAGCAGTGCTGAACTCAGCACTCTCCCGAAATAACAGTGTCCGGAGAAGAAGGCCGGCAGAGCTGTGGGGACAGGGGCAGCACGCACCAGCTCTGTGCTGGGAGCGAGGGGGCCTGGACTGAGCCACACTGAACTCTTCCTCGGGAAACAGGCCCGCGGGGAGGAGCGTGTGTGATTCTGGTTGGAACCAGAGGTGGCAGGGGAAGATCCAAGGTGGTTCTCCCACAGTCTTTCCGTGGGATCTGTTCTCTGTCTCCTCTGAGACAGGGGTGTGCGGGGCCAGGCTGCTCCAGCCAGGAGGGAGGACCCTTGAGCTCTGCTCTGAGTTCTTTCATGCTGCTGCGGGGGAGGAAGGAGTGCTAGGCCTCTAGCACGAGCTATTTCCTCCTTTCAGAAACAAGCATTATGACCTTGTGGCCCCTGTGCCTTGCTAAGGAAGATGAGACCGTAGCTGTAAAGTCTACACAGGTAAATCTTTAGAGACACAATTTTCAGCATAGCTTGCTTTCCGGTTGAATTCCTGCTTCCAGCAAAAAGCCCTTCTTTGTGGCTACACATTCAACACATTTCTTAATAATGAGACTCTCTAAAGTATGACAAGGGCTCCCCCACAGAGGACTCATTCCCAAGACCTCCCCACTTGCTAGTGTCTCCTGGTAGCCTCCTTACAAGATGATTGTGGGCACGAAGTGAAATGAATGAGGCAAAGCACTTAGCGAGCTACCAGGCACCTAGGGATGCCCAGACAAGTAGGGATGGTGCAGGTGTTCTTCCACAGGTCCGTCCATTCACTTGTTCATTCATCCTCAATCCATCTTGCTGACAGGTATGGAGCGCCTCCCCCGTGCCGGGCCTGTGCCAGCCCCTCGGTGTAGGGCCCCTGTCCTCCTGGAACTTACAGGACAGCCAGGGCCAGAGGATGATAATGCCAGAATGACCATCCAAGGCCAAGGGATTCTTGTCTTCCAAGTGGCAGCCCCTAGAGAAGCCAGTACTACCCCAGGGGCCGGGAGGCCTCAGTACCCGCAATGCATGTCTGTCTGGAGGAAGGGGCGCACCCTTGGTGCAGGGCTGCTCCTGGTGAGCCCACTCACATGCACAATTCTCCCTTACTCAGCGTGCTCCCAGCTTTGATCATCGATTCCTCACGACCATCCTCTGAGGCACAGAGAGGTTGGCCTATCCGGACCTTGCTCACACGGGTAGTAAGTGGCTGACCTAGGATTTGAGCCCAGGCCACCTGGTTCCAGACTCTGCTCTTTCACAACTCTGTTCTACTGCTCCTGCCTGCAGCTCTCACGTGCTCCCCTCTGGTCCCTTTGTTCTCGGGATAAGGCCCAGAATCTTCTAAGTAGCTCACAGTACTCTGAGCAGTTCCCCCCAGCTACTCTATCGGGCTCCTCTATGCCCCAGGGCCTCCCTGTGCTCCACCCCACCTCCTACCTCTTTTTGGTAAATAGCCAAAGTGGATTTTAGTTCTACAGGGTCAGTGCACTTCACTCCTTTTCTTGCTGTTCCAATGTGTTTGTTTACTCTTTTCCTTGTTGTTCTTACGTGAAGTCTCTTTGTAATTATTTGCTTATCGTTCCAGGCAGCACTGAATCTGCGTCTAGCATTCTAAGCACAGTCTCTGGCCTGTCTAGATGCTTCACGAATTCTTGTTTGAAAGTCTGACAAACTTGCCGCTCCTGTTTCCAATAGTCCTTGCTTTCACCTAATAGCTCCTCTCTATAAACATCAGTAGGAAACTAACCACTCAGGTTGGCTCCGGGCCCTGGATCCCTTTTGCTTATTTATCTAACCTTCTCTGGCTTGTTTTCATAGAGATATCTGACAGAAGGCAGAGAGTCTTGGTATTTTCAAATCTGATCTTTCTCTTGGGGATTCACAGGACTCTGCTTCACACGCAGAGACCCAGATTTAGGGCGAGGAGTCATGTTCAAGCCCATGGAGCCACAACTGCTCCTTCCCATCAGCAGCCTATTTTACTCAACTGACTCCTGGACACTTGTCTCAATATCCCTTGGTGCCCACCTCTGCAGCCCCCTTCTCTTGCTTCAGTTACCTGGGCTGGGACGATCTCCCAATATCATCAGTCAGGCCAAGCCTGTTGGCTTCTTTTTTAAAAGATTTTATTTATTCATTTTTAGAGAGATGGGAAGGGAGGGAGAAGGAGAGGGACAGAAACATTGATGTGTGTGAGATACATTGACTGGTTGCCTCTCACATACCCCCAACCAGAGACCTAGCCCACAACTGAGGCGTGTGCCCTGACTGGGAATTGAACCGACGACCCTTTGGTTAACAGGCCAGTGCTCATTCTACTGAGCCACACCAGCCAGGGCAGCCTGTTGGCTCTTTGCAGGGCCTTGGACCCCTCAGCCCCAGGACTTGCTGAACAAGTGCTGCTGGAACTGTTGAGCCTCCCTCTCATCCCTCCGGGTCTCTTGTGCCTGACACCACCCCTCCTCAGTGCCCAGGTCTTACCTCCTTTCTACAGACTCTATACTTTCCCTTCTTCCCAAACATTCCCATGTACGCCCTCTGATGGCAGTGCCCGAATTCCTCCTGGATGCCAGGGGAACCAAGAGTGTGATGCAGTTGGAGAGCTGGGGCTTCCATTCCTCACCCCACCACCTCCGCCTCCCTGGAGAGGGGCCGGTGGTCGAATCAATCACCAGTAGCCGATGATTTCATTGATCATACCAATATCATGAAACTTCTATAGAAGCCAAAAGGACAAGGTTTGGAGAGCTTCTAGGTTGGTGAGCACATGGGAACGTGGGGGAAACAGCAAGCCGAGTGCTCATGGAGGCTCTTGTGCCCCCTCCTGCATCCCTTATCCTAAGGATCTCTCACATCTGAGAAGTAAAGGGTTTCTCTGAGTTCTGTGAGCCACTCCAGCAAATTAAGCAAACCCGAGAAGGGCATTGTTGGAACCACTAATTCATAGTCAGTTGGTCAGAGGCACAGGTGACAACCTGGACTTGAGACTGGCCTCTGTATGGGGGACAGGACTGGAGGACTGAGCCCGTACCCTGAGAGGTGTAACGCTATTCCCAGGTAAACATGTCAGAAGGTCCAACTTCATTCTTTTACATGTAGCTATTCGGTTGCTCCAGCGATATTTGCCTCCAGAACTATGAAAAACTTACTATCTGTTGTATAAGTCACCCAGTCTGCAGTATTTTGCTATGAAAGCCCTAGAAAGCGAGTACACTTGTCTTGTTCCTGATCCTCAGGGAAAATTGTTCGGCCTTTCACCATGGAGTATGATGTTAGCGTTGGGAGTTTGTCTGTGTCGTCAGCGGGGACGGTTCCTCCTGAGGCCCCTCTCCTCGGCTTGCAGGCCTCCTCACTGTGTCTTCACACGGTCTTTCCTCTGGTTTCTCTTTTTGTTTCCAAATTTCCTCTTCTTATAAGGACACTAGTAAGATGGAGTTAAGACCTATCCCAGTGGTCTCATTTTAACTTAATCGCTTATTTAAAGGCTTTATCTTCCAATACAGCCACAATCTCAGGCACTGGAGTTAGGCCTCAACAAACAAATTTGGTTGGGGGATGGCAGGAGGTGAGGTGCAATTCAGCCCATAACAGTAAGGATGCCCACTTTCACTACTTCTATTCAACACACTTTTGGGAGTTCAAGCCAGAGAAATTAGATAAGAAAAACAAATAAAAGGCCAATTGAAAAGGAAGAAGGAAAATTATCTCTATATGCAGATGACATAATTTTATATAGAGAAAATTCTAATAATTAAAAAAACAAAGCTAAGAAGTAAATTCAGCAAAGTTGCAGGCTACAAACAAAATAAGTTTTTATACATTGACAATGGACAATCTGAATAGAAATTAGAAAAACAATTCCATTTACAGTACAATAAAAAAAGAATAAAATATTTAGGAATTAAGTAAGGAGGAGAAGGGCTTGTATATGGAAAAACCACAACACACTGCTGAAAGAAATTAAAGAAGACACACATAGATGAAAAGAAATCCTGTGTTCATGGGATGGAAGACTTAATGTTATTAAGTAGTCAATATTATCCAAAGCAGTCTACAGATTCAATGCAATCTCTATCAAGACACCAATGATGTTATTCACAGTAATAGAAAAATCTATCCTAAAGTTCATTCGGAATTCCAAGAGACCCCAAGTAACTAAAACAATCTTGAAAAGAAGAATGAAGTTGGAGGAATCACAGTTCCTGATTTCCAAAGTTGAAACAAATTTGTGCCCATCAAAACAGTGTGGGACTGGCATACAGACAGGCATGCAGACCAGCGGAGTGGAAGAGA